GAGCAAAATTGCGACACACCATAATACACAGCCAACAATTCTCTATCAGTGTTAGGATATCGAGATTCCGCGTCATTAAGGGTTCTACTGGCACATCCAATAAGTACTTCCCTTTTTCCAGGTTTCTGGGTCAGAACCGCGCCAACCGCAATAGCGGAAGCATCCGTGGTTAGTATAAATTCATGGTTGAAATCAGGAAAGGATAGAATAGGTGCGGAAAGCAAGCATTTCTTCAGGCAATCTACGGCGTCTTGCTGGGCTTTTTGCCATTGAAATACGGTATCCTTTTTAAGCAAAAGGTACAATGGTTTGGCTTTTAGTGCAAAATTTTGAATGTACGATCGGAAGTATCCTACTAAACCCAGAAAAGCTTGTACACCTTTTACATCTACAGGGATAGGAAAATTTTGGATAGCTTCGATCTTTGTCGGATTTACACGAATCCCAGTTTTGCTTATTAAAAATCCCAGATATTCGATCTGTGTGCAAAACAGCTGACACTTGGAGAATTTGACTTTTAGTCCCGCTTCGTCAAGACGCTGTAGAATGTCAGATAAATGATTGAAATGTTCGTCGGCAGTTCGTGAGTATATAACAATGTTGTTGACGTAAATGTAAGCATAAATTCCCAAGCACCCATCCAGTACCAAATGCATTAACCTTTGAAAAATAGAAGAGCTGTTTTTGAGTCCCATAGGTAAACGAATGAATTCGTAATGTCCCATGGGTGTCGAAAACGCCGTTTTCCATCTTTCCTCTTCACGAATCTTTATGTTGTAAAACCCGTGAAGGAGGTCAAGAGCTGTGAAGTATTTAGCATTCCCCAATTCTTCAAAAATTTGGTTAATTCGGGGTAAGGGATGCGCATCCGTAATTACATGGTTGTTCAAACGCCTGAAATCTACAACCATCCGCCACCCACCATCCTTTTTCTTCACCATGAGCGTGGGACTGTTGTATGGGGATTTCGAAGGTTGAACTATTTCATGCTTGAGCAGATCTTCCACGAATTCATTCACCTTTGGTCTCATTCCGTGAGGAAGAGGATATTGTCTCGTAAAGATAGGCTTTTCG